GCACAGGATATCCTTGACGGGAACGGACTTCGGAGCCACAGCAAAGTTGAGGCCTTTGCTCAGGGCCGAGAAAGCCGCTTCATCCAATGGCACACCACTCAGGTTGACCACTGTCTTCTTGCTGTCAGGTGGGCCGGGTGGGTGCTGGGCCTCATGCAAATGTTGAAACTTCTTGCAGTGCCTGGCTCTTATGTCATCAGCGATGCGTAAAGACTTCTCACTGGTGATGCGGTCGATCAGGTCCCAGTCATCGGCGGACAAGTCCTGGGTCAAGCGCAGTTGTAATTTAAAGTTCTCTGGATACAACATCCAGCTCCCGCCGGTGTGGTGGATGTGTTCATGGAGCAAACAGAAGCTCGTGCGTCTGTAGATTCTGTCGGCAGCGTCAGACCACATATACACGGTGCCAAATCCCAGAAGACTGCTTTCTTCAAAGCAATTTTATACTCATGGCATAATGATATTGACCCTGTCAGTGAGGATATTCTTTATAGTCTGACGGACAAATTTAGATAAATGTAGCTCCATTCTCTGTAGGCCTTCTGCGAATATACATTTCCCAATGGAGTTTCAGGTTATATACAGTATATACCTGTTTATCATCTAGTAGGATCTTCTGTCAAGATGACTGACGGCACCAGACATACATCACATACAGTCATATTATTTCACTGCTGAATGCTCTTGAAATTAATATGAGGCATATATGGAGAGAGATGTAGCCTGTTGAAATCAATGGCAAACTCAAAATATTAATTATGGAATCCCATTTCTTATGGGCTCTCTGATTCCCGAGGCCTTTCCTTATTACAAACAGAAGATTGGTCAGTCATTTGTGACCTTCTGTATACTTTACATCTATGCAGCATTCAACCTTTGTTGCTGTGATAACCAAAACTGCATAATTTCAGAGCCTTGATTGTCTGTTACAAAACTTTTTGTATAGAGTGAGAGAGATGTATAAATAGTCTAGACTGAACCACTACAACATAGCAACAGCACCAACGCAGGGAGCAACCCATACATATACCATTCATAAGAACAACCTAATATACATCACATACTGATTAATGAGCATATGCTCCGTAAGACATTACTAAGGTCATGACCACATGACCTGTCCCATGTAAGAAGATTCCGTTATGCAGGCGCCCCACACTATAGTCGCTTCTACCGGCATAAAACCAGGTCAAAACGTAGCTGTCTCAGAGTGTTACTACAAAAGCACAATTTTAACTTTTATGTCTTAATCTTTAGATTAAAATTTTGACCAAGACTTAACCTATGAATTTATGCAGTTAAATAATTTCAAGACAATAAGGATCCTTATATGATAATTAATTGCAATTCAAAGGTTAAACCGGAGCATTGTATGCCTGATGATGACCCAGCGTAAGGGTCGAAACATGTTGTGTGTGTAAAAGCATAATAAAAGCAAATGTTCATGCAGTAGTGCCTTATTTCTTCTTTTAAATACTCAATATTGTTGTATAGCCTGTATACCATTTATACTTTTGTATATCTTAGATATATAATTGTCAAAAGAACATGCAATGTAAGATTTGAGGCTTTCACGGCGGTGACTATGAAGAATGCAGTCTTCTGGGATTTGGCACCGTGTATATGTGGTGTTAACCGACGTTTCGGAGGAACGTATCGCCCCCATCTTCAGGGTTGAAGAAAAAGTAGAAGTAAATCTGCAAGCGACAACACCGTGAGACACG